AGCAAAATCGCTTGTAGAATATTTGTCCACAGAAAAAAAAAATCATAGTATTTTACTAATATATTTCGTAAATTGTCCCGCTTTTTCTCTCTTTTTCCTTTTTATTGGGAAAACTGCCGGGGAAATCAAAAAATGACCTCTTTACAGTACTACGTCAAGAAAATTTCCTTTCAGAAAAAGGTCTACATTGTATGCATCGGAGTAGGCTTTTTGGTAGAAAAAGTGTTCACATAAAAGAAAACATCTTTGCATAACCAATACATTGTTCGCAAAACTCAGAATCTAGAATACGTATTCTATATGAAAAAAACGTAATTATAATAATAAAATATGCATAAAAATAATAACTAATAAATAAAAAAAATGGTTTGTTCATTATAGAAAACCAATTTAATAATCATGCGCCACCGTTTAAAGTAAAATAATAATTCTACTTCAGACCTTTGAATAAGACGAGTCAACTATGTAGTTATCATAATAATAATAATAATAATAATTGTAATATTTCATTTTATTCGCGCGTAGTTTTGTTCAACGAACATCCCTGTACCAGAGGCACTCGATGACGTCTGGCTGCAGGTACAGAATAGCCGTACCGCGGTACGGACAACAATGGCCGTTGAATTGAATACACCGCGCAGTTTTGTTGGTTTTTTTTTCCTCCGCCGTTTTCGATTATACATCTTTTTTTTTTTTTTTTAAATTAATTAATTAATTAACCGAATTCTTTCCTGTTCGCGGATATCGCGCATTATTCAATATAATACAAAAACTACTAAATTACAATCCGACGCCGGGGAGCTGCGGGGAAAGCACTTCGGGGCTTCCGCGCCGCGCGCCGACGCGATTTTTAATATCTGATTACAAATCATTTCTGCGCTTACTAACGGACGGTTTAATTAAATTCGCCGAAAACAGCGTTGACGTTTGTTCGGCAGACATCGCGCCGGCCGCGACGATTAATAATTAATGTCTGAAACGATTAATTAGGCGCCGGTCGGAGGACGCGACGGGACGCGCGCGTACAAACAGGCCGTGTACGTTGCGCGAGGCCGCCGCCGTCGTCGTCGTCGTCGTTGTAAAGGCCGCGGCGCGGCGTTCAGCGCGTTTTTCCGCAGCGCGGCCCGCGGCGACGCATGGTAAATAATTGAATGGCCGGCGACCGTCCGCGGAAACGAACGTCAAACACTGTGAACAACCGGTAAACACGAACGATACTTTTATCGGTCCGTCCGCCGCCGTCGAATCGCGCCGCTGACCCGCGTGCCCGGTTCGTTCCGCGCGCGATTCCGACGCGTCCCGCGGCGGATCCCCGCACGGGTACCGGCCGCGGTAATAACAAGACGGCCGCAACGATTTTCCCGTTAAAACGACACGCTCGCGTTTACCCGAGACGCGGAATGGGCAATGGCCGGGCTTAGGGGCTTGTAGCATTTGCATACTCTGTTTAATGATTGTTAAATATAGCAGAGTGCGAAATAAATTTATTTCTCGGTGCCACGATATCGGATCTAAAATTTCAATGTGCGTATTTTTGCATATTTGATCGATTTTGCAGGAATTTTGCTTATTTCGACATTTTCATGCTTATTTTGCATATTTTGGAAATTTTTTTTAAATTTCAAATTGAAAACTATAGATAGTTAACACGTTGACTGCGGCACGAGTTGAACCGGGCGACCGTCCGGATATATAACCTATATATATATGATTAAGGCGGGTAAAGCTATACAAACACTTTATTCAAAAGTTATTCATATTACATGCCTTGCACATGCATTTCACAGGCTCGCTGAAAAAGTCCGTGACGAATTTTCGAAAGTAGATAAGGTAGTATCTTCGGTGAAAAAAGTATTTCGAAAATCTCCCTTACGTATAAAAAAATTTTTAAATATGACTAAAAACGAGATGCCTTTACCGCCTGAACCCATGCTAACAATATGGGGAACTTGGATAAATGCTACCATATACTATTGCGAACATTTGGAGAACATTCAGACAGTTATAAAAACATTCGACAGCGATGACGCCGCTTCAATTAAGACAGCCAAAAAGTATTTGGAAAAGAATAACCTACAGTGTAACTTGGCATTTGTTAAATCGTATTTCGGAATTTTACCCAAATCTATAACATTTTTGGAAAAGAAAGGAATAAAATTATCCGATTCGTTAAAAACGGTCGAAGATGCGAAAAATAAAATTGTTGACTTAAAATGTACAAAAGGCAAAGCAGTCTTAAAGAAGTTAAATGACGTTTTAGAAACAGATCCTGGTTACAAATCTTTATTAAAAATTTCAACAATTTTAAGCGGCGAAGTTGAAGATATGGAAGGATTGCCTGAAGACTTGACAAGTAATGATCTGGTTTATTTTATGTATGCTCCAATGTCGTCTGTAGATGTTGAAAGAAGTTTTTCCGTCTATAAAAATCTACTGTCAAGTAATCGTCGTAGATTCACGTTTGAAAACATCAGGAAATATCTTATTGTGCAGTGTAATTTTCTAGGTAAAGAAATTAATAAAATAATAAAAATTAAAACATTTAAATATTTAAACATTATTTCATTTTTACTTTAGGATCGGAAGGACCAATTATTTTTTAAAAATTCAATTTATTATATCATTTTAAACTCAAGTAATAATATTCTTATATAATATAAATTCTAATAAAATAAATATTTGTTATACCTTTTTTTTGGGGGGCCATATCTTAATACATAGGTATACGGTTATTCTTAGGTGCATATTTTAGAGCATATTTGGTCATTTTTTGGTGCGTATTTAGGTATTTTTTAGAACTACAAGTCCCTAAGCCTAGTAATGACGATAACGTTACCGAGTACTCGACCCCTGCCCGTACCATAAATGGGATGGAATATCGGTATACTATGCAATATTAACTCGGGCATCGCTTCGTCCTGTTGCCGTGAGCCGTCCCGCTTGCGCCCGCGTCGCACCGCCGGACTGCCAGTTTTCACCCGCGTCCCTGTCGCAGTCCACCGTCGTCGCTCCCGGCAGTTTATTTCTCAAAAATAATGGTTACTATGCCGCCCGCGTGGCAATACCCAATCAACTAATGACAACCGGCGGTTTTTTTTTTTCTTCTTCCGTCCTTATCGCTAAGGCGACCCGTAAACCGACATTAGCCGTTCGGTTTCCGTTCCGAAAATTCCAGAAACTTCGTGTGAGCCGCCCTTCGGGGATGGAATTTCGGAAATCCGACGTCGAGACTCGCGCGAATCCGTTCGTTGGCCCTGTAAATATTCAGACCTCTGTGCCAGATAGATTCGGCTGTATACCGCGTGCAAAAAAAAAAAAAAACCGACTGACCGACAGACAGACATTTATTTTATTATTTTATTAACAACACCTGAACTTACCGGTATTTCTCGGGCCTAATACTTTTAAAAACAGTAATAAAAACAAGGAATTCAATTCCTCGTCTTCCCGTTTTCGCCCTCGTATCTCTATCAAAGTTAATCATTGTTGCCCGTTCGTTTTTTTACAAATGTTATTTTAGTGTCTGTGAAAACCAAATTAAACAATAATGAACGTTTTAACTGTACCGCCAATGTAACCCGTAAAGCGATAAAAAAAAAAAAATCAATTTTTCTTCCAAAAATACCGAAAATTCCGTGTCGGCCAGGATTTAGGAGTTGAATTTCGAGATAAAAGGTAGACTGGAATCATCTTAGTCTTGTTTTGGATGTCAAGTGTACAATGTTTCATCAAGATCAGAACAAACCTGTAGATTTAAATAGAGGACAGACAGACAGAAAGGATTGTTGTTTCCGAACAACGTGCTTGAAAATACATTAGAGAACTCGGTCGGAGTAGATTGCTCAGCAGTCAGTGTGGCAGATAGATTATCGCGGTGATAGTATAGAAATTACAAAAAAAAAAAAAAAAACGTAAATTTTTTAATTTTGTAATGGTGGTGAAAATTATAACGAGATTTAACGTGTTTTATATATAGCAGTGAAGTTCATAACCATTTTTTATCGTTTAATTATTATAAAATTTTTAACTATCGCCGTTTGTCATAAAAACATCTTTTCCTAATACTCGTATTATCGAATACAGTTATAACGAACTTGAATATTTTAATTTACATTTGCGAGTGCACTTTTTTAACAGACAATTTTGTTCACGCGTAAAAAACTTAAAAAAAAAAAAATCAATAGTAATGTATATATATATATGCACGTATAACACGAGTTTTAGATTCTGAGAGTAACGAAGAGGTCATTAGTTTCACATTTCCGTCTAGTAAAAAAGCTTCAATATATTCATGCTTCATAATAAAATACGCGGATACGTTTCATTTGACGGTATATTATATTTGAACATTTTTTTTTTTTTTTTGAAATTTACTAAATTTAGTAAATTTGGGTTTGATGTCTAACGAGTGTGTCAATGGTATTTACAAAGAGGCATCGAGTTGTATGCGCACAAACGATTGTACCCGTTTATGTTATTGTAATTCGAATTTAGTCTTCGGCTAATTGTACAATGTGCACGCGTGAGCTTGATATAATTCGATTTAAAAATTATTACAAAAGCAATTGAAGTGAAATAATTGTGTACACCGGAATAAATTTAATAACCGTATACGTTTATAGAACATATTGTGTGTATGTGTACATTGATGTAAAACACGTTCGTAAATAAAATTAGTTAGGCTTGTGATAAATAATACAATGCGGTTGAAAATCGTACGCGGGAAAAGCCGGGCAATTCATCTTGTTATAAACGAAATCGTCGGTTTAATATTCCGTACAAGACAGCAAACCCAAGCTGTGAGAGTAATATTATTTATAAAATATCCGTACAAAGATATGTTTCGTTTCGATTATTCGGAGCGGCTGTGTAACGATTGTACGGCACAGGAGAAACACAACCGTTTATTGAACTAAACGCGCCTTCGCGAGTGCGTCACCTCCGTCGCCACTCGAAATCCGTACGGCCACATCGGCATACCGTGAATAAGGCCGTCGTCGTCAATCGATATCCATACGGGTTTCGTCGTTATTTTGCGAACCGTACGACGGAGCGGTAGGGCTACGCCTTTATCGTGTGAACAAACGTAATATTAAATTTCACACTTACTAACGGTAGAAAAAAAATTTAACTAAATTTTCAAACGTATAATGGTAATTATCCGTTTGACGAAGTCACGACATTTGTCTACGCAGGTTTTTTTTTTTTTTTATGAATATCGACCATTGTAAATTGCGCCACTATCAAAGACACTTACGTCGGTGACGCCGGATACGCCGGACATTTCGACGAAGACGGCAGGTTTTGTGACCAGTAAACCATAGTGTACGAAACTGACTTCAGAATATTGTACGACGATGACGCGTCAAGGCCTGTAATCGGGACCGTAGCATTCAAAGGCGTGTCTCTTTCGCAGGTCGGGCACAAGCTAAATAATATGGTGGTGTTAATGCAAAACTGGTTAAGCACAAAAAAGAAAGAGAATACAACTCCGAAATTTCCAAAAAGGATAATGAAAAAAAAAAAAAAAAAATTTGATTTTTTTTTTTTTACTAGGAGTAATGAACAATGTTAATTTTATCCGAAATCTGAATACGCGTTAAACATTTTCTCGTAACACTTGTAATACGCGAATAATCGCGTTATTCGACTCGATACTTATAATGCGAAATACGTATTTACCCGGCTGCGAACAATAACTGTTATTAATTGTTTTTGAAAAGTGTAAGAACTCAAACGCGTTTGACGGAGTCGCGATGTAGCTACACCGATTTGTTTTTTTTTTTTTCCGGTCCGTTTAATTACGTCGAACGATATCGGTGACGGATACGGCCGGAGATACTTACCGCGATGATGACGAACCGTAAGAGCTGCGGTCGCGCGAGCCGTCACTCGCCGGTGGATCGTTTGCGATGAGTATCAGTTCGTATAACGCGCGTCGAGCACTCGCGTCCGACGGCGACGCGTCATCAAGCGTATCATTGTAATAGCCATGGCTGTAAACGAATAACCGTATGATTTAACTGGACACTTATCAAAGACGAGTATGTCAAAGGTACTGACGAAAGTGACGCCGTGCCGGGGGCCGGTGACGCCTGGCTGTAGGACGCAGACGTCGGACTTCGCGATGGAGACACAACTAATCCTGCACATTTCAGAAAAACGCTTTACACAGATGTAGGACGTGTCAATCGAGTAAGTCGATTTCGCAGCCCGATTTCGAGAATACTGTTTTGCTGCCTAACCGTAAGCTTACGAGGTGTGGCTATTAAACAACGAGACTGCTCGCCTAGAGGGCGCCCTAGATGGGTAGTGAAAAAAACGAGTAATGCGTTGGGTATCTAGATATCCTATCTATCCACGTACCAAAACACGTTTTCGTCACTATTATAGTATTTGTGCAGTAGTGGTTTGAAACGAACGTGTTTTTTTCTCGTGCCGAAAAACATGAGCAACGGATAAACGTACAATTTTCTCGTTATACTAAAAAAAAACTCCAACTGAGTGTTATAAGTTGTTAAAAGAGGCCTATAGTGAGGATTTCCTATCTCGGGCGCGTGTTTTTGAGTGGCATAAATTATTTTCTGATGGTCGAGAGTGCACCGGAATCCAATTCAGTCGTAATCCAAATTCAAAACCGTTTTCTTCGATATCAACGGCATCGTGATGACTGAATGGGTTCCAGAGGGTCAAACTGTGAACCAACATTACTATTTGACAGTTTTAGCAACATTGCGCGAATGAGTTCGTAAGAAACGGTCGATATTGTGGAAAAACAAGTCGTGGATCTTGTACCAGGATAAAGCGTGAAGCGTTATTTGGCCGCTTAAGGCACTCCAGTACTCGAACACGCGTCTTACTCACCCGACTTGGCACCCTGCGACTTTTAATTGTTTCCGAAGATAAAGTCTGCCTTAAAAGGAATCCGGTTTGAGTCGATGGAAGAGGTGAAACAAAAATCGGCGGAACCCCTGAATGGTCTTACGAAAACAGACTTCCAGCACTGCCTCGAGCAATGGAAGAAACGAATGAAACGGTGTGTGGCGAGGGGAGGGGAGTATGTTGAAGGGGAGCATTTGAATGTAGAATAATTTTTATAATAAAACACTTTTTCGTAACCAGTCTCGTTATTTAATAGCCACACCTCGTATACTCTCTGGACGATAGTGTTTGAAAATAATTCGGTAGCTTAATAATTTAGCCCACCCGCGTAGTTAGCCGGTACTGAGGACCCGAACAGGTTGAACATCGGCTAATGCTCTAAAATGTTTTGCGATTATCGATTCAAAAAAAAACAAAACAAAACAAAACAAAACTACAATAATGCAATATTTCAAATGTATACAGTTATGAAAATAGCGTTCAGTAACGCTACGACTGTTGTGTACAACAGTGAACGAAAATAGTATTGTAACGGAAAATCACATAAACGTACGCGGCCGTTTTTCGTCACACTTCGGACAACATTTTTTGAATTTCTTCGAATGCGCGTAATCTATCGGTGACGGCGACCGTTTTCTTTTCGTTCCAATCGTATGGTTGTCGTCCGGTATCAGCGGTTCACTAACGGTAGCTTTGTTATCTACCCTGGTCGAAGACCTTACGGAGACGGCGGAGACCACGGTAGTAACTGTATCCGTAGTGTACGTATTCATTATGATCAAAATCACGTATATTATTATGAATCGATAAACAACGCAGAGTACTTTTAGACGAAAAGTGAACGTTGATGTTTTATGAATTTTTTTTAGACGTTTATTCGATAGGTACGCGGAAAAAATGTTGCCCGACGACCTAATGCGTCCTCATAATAATAAACAGCAACTGTTTTTTTTTTCGGCCGATAATACGATTTATTTTCGCTTGCAAATACCCATCTGATTCCGTTTACCGCCATGTTATATTTGTACGGATAATATAACGGTACGTATACCGACGAATAAATTAAATTTCACTAATATAGTTGAGCGCGGCGATGAATATGTTACTGGTTTTACAATAACGTTGCGGTGTTTCATTATGCATGTTTTATTCGAATCTCAATTTTCGGAAAACACCGCGGGAAAAACGGGCAAATGTAATTGCGTGTATAAAAGAAAATTCGCTTCGAATTGTTTTTCGTTAGCGACGGTTTACAGCTGATATAAATCGAATTCCCCTCCATATCCTATATTTTCCCGACTTCTCGCCGAAAACGGTGGCCCGCCCGTCATGCGAAGTATGTCCGTCATTTTTTTTTTTTTTTTGTCGTTTAAAAAGATTTCGACGACGGCGCCTGAACATATAAAATAAGATACGATATTGAGCGTACGAACTGACTGGCCCGTGACAGCTATTGATTTTTTTATTTTTAGATTTATAGGTTTTAAAACGATGTTTATTATTTTTATTTTTTATCTGTTTTTTACAATTTTTCTACCCCAAGTCTTGCTCTGATTTGCATGTGTAATTACTTTTCCGAAAGGAAATTTTATCTGAGTGGTACACCGTGGGAAGTTATTTTTGATTTTCCAAGTAGTTTTCATAAAGATTAGGAAAAGCCGGGAGAAAACGTAGGAAAACCGAGAAAATTTACGTGCACGTACAAAAGAAACTATTTAGCTGCCAATCGTTTTTCGTTAGCGGCTGTTTATCGTTGCGCACAGATACAAAATTAAAATCCTCTCCATAATATATCCAACCTGCCCGACATCTTATCGAAAACCAGAGCTTCCGTTTAGGAAATGTTAGAGCTGCGCACACTGTTTATTTTAGAAAAACGAACACATTCGCCACTCGCTTTCATAATACATGACAAATATTATCATAAATAACACGAAAATTATTTTATTATTAGTTTGAGCGCAATTACAATGTAGTATTCGGTGGTAAAACGCAACGGTCGTGACCACGGTTTATCTTAAACTGCGGTTATAATCATTTTATATTCGTAGATAAATAATTCTTTACTATCGATGTTTTAATCATAAATTTCTAATAATTTCAGAAAACAAATATTAATATGTTATATAGACATGGCGCATTAAAAGTTCGAATCATAGTAGTTTTTCTGAAAGGAAATTTTCTCTGGGTAGTGCTTTTGAGAGATCGTTTTATGAAATTCTTATTCATGTTCGAGATAATGAGAGAAACCTCGGTCTTTAGGTTGAAAAAGATTGAAAGATTAAAAATCAAGTTTGTCATTGGCAATTGTTTTTATATATTTTTTTTGTTATTATTGAGTTTTCATTGTTTTAATCTTTTTCAAACAATCATCGTTATCACAATATGACATAATACCGTATATTGTACTGTCGGCAAAGCAACACTATCTACTGAACTCCGTTCAGAATCGTTTTTTCGTTAGCAACGGTTTGTCTTTGCTTACGGGCATACATTAAATTCCCGTCCGTAGCCTGTCGTCCCAACTTCGCGTCTACAACAGCGGCCGCGCCCCGCGTGCAAAGCGCGCCCGTCTCTTTTTTTTTTTTTTTTTTTAACGCGATTATACCGCAAGTGTCGCCGGTTCGCCGAAAATAACGTTCGCACGTTACTAATTGTATTGGCCGGGAAACGCACACGCACGGAAGCGATCGATTTCCGGAATGTTATCGCGCGACAATCGACACCGCTTTCCGACGATAATTCGTGCGCGGCATAATGAACCCTTCTCCCGTCTCGAGCCACGGCGAACGGTAACAATATCATTGTCGCGACGGAGTCCCGGCGAGGTTCGCCGTCGCCGCGCCTCGAAATATCGCCGGTCTCCTCGTTTTACACTCCACCGGGCCGCGTACGGCCGCGTCAATGTAATTACCGAATGTTTTAAAACAACATTCTCGAAAACACCGGGAGTGTCCAATTATTATTGTTATTATCGTATCGCGTCGCAAGGACTACGGAACTCGCGTCCGACTTTACGAAAAGAGCGAAGATGGCCGCGGGGTTCTGGCGGAGGGGCGATTGGGGGGTGGTGGTGGTGTTGGGGGGGGAGGGGGGTGGGGTTCCACGTCGCTGACGCGTTTTCGAATATCACTCGTTCACGGCCGTCCCCGCTCGTCGTCGCTCGCGTAACGACGGCGAGGGCGAGCAACGACGAGGGAACCTACGACGCGCAGTGGTAACTGCGAATGGGAAATCTAGGCGACGAAAACAGTCGGCCGTTAAAAATGTTCGAAAAATCGATTTTTTTTTTTTTTCTAGGATCTCATTAGTATAATACGATTAGGTAATAGGGTACATATAAAATTTCAGTCGAACAACATTTTATTTGAACCGGAGTTATGGCTAAGCGTTGACTATAGACGAATTTTGTTTTTTCTGGTATTTCGAAAAAAAAAAAAAAAAAAATGCCCATAGTTCATTAATTCTTTCGGGCGTTGAAATATATAAAATACAAAAATAAAAACGTTCGGTTCGTACGTCACATACTTGAATAATACAAAAAAACACGTATATTTTTTTTTAAATAGACTTCAGTAAACATTTATTCAATTTTACCCTACACGCGATATGTGCATTTCGTAGAGGAAGTTCCCGGTTATAAGAAGACAGAGTTTTTTTTATTGCGTCCCGTTGCATCTGCAACGCACAAAAATCATATTGTCATACAAAATGGTGTAAAGTTAAAAATCTATTAAAACTACAATATTTGTATGGAAAACTAATGATCTGTGTACAATTGAATGACGTAAACATTGTCATTTAAAAGTGCTAGACGATGCGGACCAATTTCAATCGAATAATCTCTGTTGGATAAACGCGTGAACGGAACATTTCGCGCATTAACCGCACATGTAACGTGCTGCGGCGCGGGCACTTCATTAATTACAAACAAACAAATAAAAAAAAATAACGTTCGATAAGTACCGGTTTTAAAGAGTTGTTTGCCGGGACTATCAAATCACGCGGCCAAAGTTTCGTTCTCAGACCGCTGGCGCGACGTAACGTAACACGTGACGTTTGCCGTTTTTCGAAATTGTATAAAAAAAAAAAAGTCAATATCCCCGACATTCCGGTATGAATAACGCGCGTCTCACCGCGATGTCACAACAGCCCCCTCACCGTTAACCGGGTACGCGTTCCGGAAAAATATCAATAACAATCAAACGCGATACGTCTGTGCTCGCGTGAAATACACACCGACGAGACGGTACGGTCCCGACGCGGTCCCCACGGCGGATTCGTGCGCGCCCGCGCGAACCACGTTCGTATTTGTTGCGTGCGGGATAACGTAATGCGCGTGATGCTTTCTCCGTTTTCCGTGTAGATTATCCGACGCGGTTTCCCGTTGCGATCCGACGTTCCTGTCGGGGATATAAGACGGGAAAATCGAATGTCCCGACGCCGGGCTGATTGTTATCGCGGATTACCGCGGCAACGTAACACCGCGAACATTTCACTCGCGTTTCGCACAATACAACGCCACACGTCGGATCGTATACGGGAGTTTATGTGCCGTACGGTGTATTAATAATATTACACACGGTTAAACGTACGTTTGGATTCTGAGTGGAGCGAGAGGAATTTATTGGTTTCGCGACGGTTTCTATTTTTGTTATTATTGGTTTTTTTTTCTCCGGAGAACTGTTCCGCCAGCGGTTTTGCTCCGATTTACAATGATAGCACTTTTTCCGAAAAGAAATCGGACTGGAAAGGTACTTTAAGCAGGCCATTTTTTTTTCATGGAAGTTTTCCCAATAAACGGTAAAAACGTAGGAAAATCGAAAAAAATCGGCACAATATTAAACAAATATTATTGAAGAAAATGCTTAACGCATACGCAATCATTTAACCGTAATATCGCATATAAATTGTTCACAAAACAACGTTATCAACCGAAGTCCGTTCATAATCGTTTTTTCGTAAGCAATAGTTAATCGTTGCTTTCAGATATTCATTAAATTCCCGTATATATGCTACCTTCCTAACTTCCCACTCTTAATCCACGGTGCCATCGACGCTCCAGATCTATTGTCATCCATCACTTTCAAATCCATCGGGACACATTCACTATTCCACTTGCCTCAACACTTATGGGCTAAGTAATCCCCTCTATCGCGCTTTGCGTTTACTCAACACTGCTTAGTTCGGGCCCGTTGAACCATTTCCCAAAGATTTAAGTTACCTCACTATTGTCAACCCTCCCTCCTAATTTTAGTTAACTTAAGATCAACTTGTACACATTTTCCTGTTTTGGTGTTTAAATTAACAAATAAATATAACGGGCAAAAACCGAATGTAGTATAAACAAGGACCCTCTAAAAATCCTGTTGGTATATCCAGATTACTTCGCCTATTTTTACCCCTCTCAAACCTAAACTAAATTAATATATCCTACCTCGCTCGCCTCGGGGATGATAGTTGAGAGAGGGGTAGTGATACGCGCGATAACATGGATTTTCCTGACTTTACGGGGAGTCCAGGACACACCTATAGATACGAATACCGAAAAACGGGCAAATATACGCAATAATTGTTTCCATTTGCTTTTTTTTGTTTTTTTTTTATCGATATTCGGTTAAAAATAATCGTTGAGATCTGTAATTTGCACTGAATATTGAAATATTACTTATAATACGTATATTATAATAAGTTCTAGACGTGGTATGATTTTTGAAACATTTTGGCGGTTCTGAGCTATTTGTGCTATTTTAAAGCTATTTTGTAAACGGTT